GAGGGAACAGCTGGCAAAAAAAAAAATCACAACATGAAATAGAAAATAACAAAGATGGAAAAAAATGGCCATAGAGAGATGATATTTATGAAAGAGAGGGAAATACAACATATCTATGATTATAGGTGCTAAGTAAGAGAATAGGACAAATGCAACAGGAAAGATTCAAGGCAACAGAAGAAGACATCCCTGAAGTTAAAAATACATATAACAATAAATCTTGAGCTCCAGAGAAGATTTTGCTGTTTTGTTTCTGTTTGGATTTGAGACAGGGTCTCGCTGTCTTCCAGGTGGGCCTTAAACTTCTGGGCTCAAGCGATCTTTCGCCTCCTAAGTAACTGGGTCTATAGGTGCACAACACCACACCCAGCTTAAAAGAGGATATTGTGTTCCTGGAAAGTCAACACTGCAGTCTCTCTTGGTAGAGTTACTGAATGTCAAGTAAAAAGAATCTGTCAGGTTTCCTGGCAGAATAAAAGTGATACAAGTACCAGGAGAAGTAAATTAGGCCGACCTCAGGCATCTCCTGCCAAAAAATAGTCTAGCAATGTTCATAAATCTGAGGCAGAGAACTGAAACACAAGAATCTGAAACCTACCCACATATCCTTCTGGCTTCAAAATGACAGACTGGTGTTCATCAGCATGCAAGGCCTCAGGGAATGGGGGACCCACATGTGCTTCTCAATGAAACTGCTGGTAACTCCACTGAGCTAAGGTGTTGGGCAGATTAGGTACTCTGGATCCCTCAATACAAATCTAGAAATGCTGGAGAAAATATCATAATCAACCTTTTAGAATTGATGGCTGAGTTTACCATAAATAAAAGAAAATATTCTGTGGCCAGGAATGAATTGTGAGCCCAGCTCCAGGGAGGTAGACAAGTGCTAAAATCATCAGCCACTCTGGGTGAGGCTGCCAATTCCTGGTAGTCAGAGCTTTCATTTCCTAGGCCTCCTGCCAGGCATAGGAGGCAATATCTTGGTGTCCGAATGGAGCATAGGCTGCGAGTCCCCATGTTAAGGCAAGTACCACAAAAGGTATCACAAAAGGTATCAGAGAAAGAGCAAAGTAGAAGGAAATCTTCCCTTCAAAAGCAGACAGACTGGGGCTGGGGTTGTGGCTTAGCGGTAGAGCACTCACCTAGCATATGTGAGGCCCTGGGTTCGATCCTCAGCACCACATAAAAATACATAAATAAAATAAAGGTATCGTGTCCAACTACGACTAAAAAAAATTTTTTTCTTTTTTTTAAAAGCAGACAGACTGGGGATGGGAGTGTAGCTCAGTGGTAGAGCCTTTTATCTAGCATGCACAGGGCCTTGAGTTCTATCCCTGGTACTGCAAAAAAGAAAGGAAAAAAAAAAGCAGATAGTGTTGTGTTGACTACACTCCTATCTGGACAGGACATATTAACAAGCTTGTTTGCATACCAGTGCTTTACAATACTAATAAGCAGAATGGGTTTATTTTTGTGATCCAGACTCAAAGAGGTCCCCTCTAAAGAAGAATCCTCTTCTCTGTCATCAATTAGAATTAAACCTAAACCTCAAGCAGGCCTTTGCAAATATTCTTTATCAACCTTTGTCCATGTCATTGTCTCCATTTGAAATGCTTCTCCCTGCCTGTGTTTTCCAGGCTTTTTCCAAATATGGAAGTACTAGGCATCCTTATAAACCCAGTGCAAGTGTTGCTAGCTCCACAAAGCCTTGCTTGAATTCACGCAGCTCAGAGGGATTGCTCTCCCCTCTCTGACCTCTGAACATTTACCTTCACCTCAGGCTAACATATCATATTGCATCTTGAATGGTTACTGTGGTGTCTGTGTGGCCCCCCAGGAGATTAAGCTGCTAGAGGACAATAGTTGTGCCTTCTCTGTCTTTGCATTACTCCACACACTGAATTAGTGCTCAATTCATGTCTGATGCATTAAATTGAAAATAATTGAACTGGAAACCCTGGGGTATTTTGTCATTCTAAAAACTCTTCAGTGCCAGCTCCTATCATTTGTTGAAAACCAGGAGGTTCTGATGCATTTATAGACATGCCGTGGAGGACCATCTGAGAAGTGGTTCGGAAGTCTGTTGTCTCCTATGCCAGATTCTTCTGTGGAACTTAGCATTTAATCAAGGACAGTGCTCAGTTCTGCTTCAGTCCCATCAATGTCACAGCTACTTGTTCTCAGTATAACTTCACAAACTCATGCCTGTGTTGGCTGGTTGTCTGGACAGGATGGAGAATTTTTATTCAATGTCTCTTCTTTCCTTTCAATCCACAACCCCCAAAAAGGCAGCCCAAGAAGGGAGTTGCAGAATGACAACGATTCTTTTGGTAATATCCAACACTCCCGTGGCGTTTGCTCCAAGCCGGGCACAGTGTTTTACTCATGAGTCCTCTCTGGCAGGCACTACTGATGTCTCATTTTATACTTCAGGATACCAAGGCAGCCTAACCAAAGTAGAGAGCTAGCAGAAATAGAGCTAAGACTCTGGCCTTGACATCAGAAGTGGAGTTGGATTCCACTTGATTATTTACTACTTCTGAGAACTCACAAGTTACTCAACTCTGAGTCTTGATTTCCTCATCTAAAAAATGGGGATAATAATCTCTTTAGGATAGGAGAAATTAAATGAGAACACATTTAAAAGTGTCTGTGCTTCGTAGATGATTAATAACAACTCTTTTTTAGTGGAATAAAATGGGTGAGCATAGTGACACACGCCTTTAGTCCCAGCTACTCAGGAGGCTGAGGTGTGAGCCCAATTAGAGGCCAACCTGAGCAGTAGCCAGACCCTATCTATGAAAAAAAAAAAAAAAAAAGGGAAATAGCTAAATTAAAAAATATTGACATGAGGGGGCTGGGATTGTGGCTCAGCAGTAAAGCGCTTGCCTTGCACATGTGAGGCACTGGGTTTTATCCTTAGCACCACATTAAAATAATAATAATAAAAAAATAAAGATATTGTGTCCATTTACAATGGGGGGGGGGTGGTTCATGCCTGTAATCTCAGTGGCTTGGGAGGCTGAGACAAGAGGATTGCAAATTCAAAGCCAGCCTCAGCAAAAAGTGAGGTGCTAAACAACTCAGTGAGACCCTGTCTCTAAATAAAACAAAAAATAGAGCTGGAGGTGTGGCTCAGTGGTCTAATACTCCTGAGTTCAATCCCTAGTATCGACCCCCCACCAAAAAAAAATTATCATGGGGTTGGATTTGTGGTTCAGTGGTAAAGTGCTTGCCTAGCGTGTACAAGGCACTGGGTTCAATTCTCAGCACCACATTAAAATAAATAAATAAATAAAGGTCCATTGACAACTAAAAAACTTTTTTTTTAAAAGAACATTTTTAAAAAATTAACATGGTAGCAACTAAGGCAGAGCCACAGAGAACGTGTTCTCTGTTTCCCTCCAGCAGGATTTCATAAGACAGTAACGCATTTGACATGTAACACATAAAGACTGAGTATTCTTCCCACCAAATGGGGCCCCTCCAGCAAATGATATTTTTGCTGATCAGATTACATTGAGCTATAATAAAAGATAGTTCGGGCTCACCAAAATTGGAAAAGAAAATGTAAAGATCACACTGAAGCCATCCAAAATAGCTTGATATGTTTTAATTGTTCTGTATTAGCTTGCTGCATCTTAGAACATTTTTTAAAATCAAGTCACAGCTGTGGGTACTTTAGGCTGTGGCCATCATAAACAAATATGAAAAGAAGCAGAGTTAAAACAGATGAATTCTAGGGCTGGGTTGTGACTCAGTGGTAGAATACTTGCCTAGCAGGTGTGAGGCACTGGGTTCAATTCTCGGCACCATGTATAAATGAATAAATAAAATAATGGTCCATTGACAACTAAAAAATATTTTTAAAAAACAATGAATTCTAAAGGTTATCCATTAGTCTGATGTGATCTAACACAAATGACCATTCAGAGACTAGTGAAGAACTTGGGGAAACAATTTCAATTATGAGCTTCTGTGTAGCTGAATGATAGCTTTTGCCGGTGCTTATTGTCTGCTTTGGTCATGATCATAATGCTTTGGGGAAGTCAAAAATCCTCCTTATCACTCCTTGATAAGTGAAAATCGTGGAATATACCAGAGAACAGAGAGCCAGATTTCTGTGAAATATATTCAAAGATGGTAAAGTGAATACTCTCCTTTTCCTGGCAGAATTGGAGATGGTTACCATGGAAACTCACTCATCACCACCACTGACTGATTTAAATCTTTTGTCAAGGAACGAGTTATCCGGGTTATCATTTCTTCTCTTCCCATGCCCTCCCCTTCCAATTCCTCATCTCTCCCTAACAAGTGGAATTCTTCCTGTGCTTTGTTCTAAAAGCCAATTTGGTGTCTTAAATGATCAGTCCTATGAATGGCAGGTTTGGCCAAATGGACTTGCCTCACAGAAGGGGTACCATATTGAACCACTTGGTATTAGAGCAGCAAGGGAGACGCCACACTTCAGGAGTAAGCCAGTGGAGGGTGACTGCCATTTCACTAGAAGATATTGTGCGAAGAATGTGGTCTCCACTGAGGGAGCAGGGTGGAGTTGCATGATAACAATTCATTTGCCTGAACAGCTCAGGTGTTACTTCAGTTTCTCTATAAAAATTTGTGCTGGGCGAAATGGCACGTGCCTATAATCTGGGAGGCTAAGGCAGGAAGCTCACAAGCTAGAAGCCAGCCTGGGCAATTTAGTGAGAAATAAAATAAAAACCAAAAAGGGCTTGGGATGTGGCTCAATGGTAGAGCAACCCTGGGTTCAATTCCTAGTACTGGAAAAAAAAAAAGGGGGGGGGAAACAATTTGTCCTGATTGGGTGCTGTGACCTGCCCTCTCTAGCAGCAGTTGTTTGCTTAAATTTGAAAATTTAATTTTGAGCTAGTAGTTCAGCTGGGAACACAGGTCAAAGGTGAAAGTCAGCTGGGCTGAGGGGAGAGCCAAGCCTGAGGAGTCCTTCTGTGGGTCACCTAGAGCTGGAGAATCTGTTCACGTTAACTGTGGAGCTTTTCCAGAACAGCACGAACTTCCTCTGGATGGTAGTTCCAAGGGCCAGGTTTACCCTGCAAGAGAAATGAATCAGGCATTGCTAGATTTCCAATCTGCAAGGAATATGTAGGTCTGGAGCTTGGTTGTAGATCTGGACTAAGATCTATGGTGGTGTTATCAGTACAGTGTGGCCAATGGCAGATTTGCACAACCATGAGGTGGATCAGATCATCCAGAGAAAGTGAGTGGCATGGCACCAACATTTAATGAAAAGACTGGATAGAGATAGAAGAAAACTAGAGGCAAAATGACAGAGTTTTAGGGGGAGAAAGGGATCTATACAAATAAACTTTTCTTCCCTCATTAGACCTTCAGACCTTTAGACTTTCCTTTCCTCTTCAGTCCCCACAGAAGCTCCACTCATTCGCATTAGAACCACCTCTGCCCCTCCAGTCCCCCTGCCCTAGGGATGCCCTCTACACTCCCTAGTCCTGGCCCCCACCATACCTCCCAACTAGCCTGCTCCCTCCAGTCCATTCTTCACCCAGTAGCCAATGGTCTTCCTTCCTTCCTTGGTACTGGGGATTGAATGAACCCAGGGGTGCTTTGCCACTGAATCACATCCCCAGCCCTTTTTATTTTTTATTTTGAGACAGGGTCTCTTACTAGTTGTTCAGGACCTTACTAAGTTGCTGAGGCTGGCCTTGAACTTGCAATCTCCTGTCTCAGCCTCCCGAGTCACTGGGGTCATAGGCATGTACCACTGCATCCAACAGCCAATGATCTTTCTAAAGAACCGATCTGATCATGCCTGTCTCCTACTCAAAATCTTCATATGGCTCTTCTTTGCCCTAAGATGAAAGCCGAACTCCTTGGTCCAGGATCAGACCCTGTAACCCAAGTGCCTCCAATTCTCTATTCATACCTACCCTATATTCCTCAGGGCCTTTGCCACCTGTCCTTATATTTGCAATGACCTTCACTCCATGTGCTTACTTGACTGACTGCTTATGCATTTTTTAAATTTATTTTTAATAAATAGGGATCTATTCAAATAAACTTTTCTTCCCTCATTAGACAGAGACAGGCACTTGCTAAGTTGCTGAAGCTGGCTTTGAACTCACAATTCTCCTGCCTCAGCCTCCCTAGTCACTGGAATTACAGGCGTGCTTCACTTCATCCAACTGACTGCTTATGCTTTAAGGCCCACGCTTGCCACATCCTCTGACATATCCACCCTTCCTCAGGGTTGGAAAACCTGAAGTTTGAGAGCCAAGTCATTTCTGATAGCGCACATTCTTCACTTACAGATGGTCTGTGGCTGCTTCTTTGCTATAACAGCAAAACTGAATTGTTGGGGATTCAGGGTTTTCTGGTCCACAAAGTAAAAAATATTGACTATCAAGGCCTTTACAGAAAAGGTTGCTGGTCCTTGCTGTGGAATCTCAGCATTAGGACATTGTATTACTACTCTTTTTTAAAAAATATTTTTTAGATGTATGGACCTTTATTTTATTCCTTTATTTATATGTGGTGCTGAGAATTGAACCCAGTGCCTCACACATGCTAGGCAAGCCCTCTACCACTGAGCCACAGCCTCAGCCCCTGTATTACTACTCTTATTTGGGTCTTCCCAGACTGTGGGCACCTTGAAGTAAGGCAGGGATCATTAAATTTGTTTTTGTGTTTCCAGGATTTGCACAGGGCCTAACCCAGGGTAGGGACTCTGTGCCTAGCATCTTAGAACCATGTCTCAGGGAAGGGGCAAGGAAGAGGGACCTGCATCCTTGTATTGTGACCCTTAGGACATTGGGGTTCCATGTACAAGATGTTGCTTATTTCACCTGTATAAGTAGGGCCATGAGCAGAATAGCATCTAAGTAATTGGGTATCATCAGTTATCCAAGGCTGCAAATCCTTTCAGCAGCTCTAAACTTATTTCCTACTCTCAGAGACCAACACTGTCCAAGGAGCCAGAGGGTGTGCCAATGTGTTAGTTCCTGTTCCCTAGTAAGGCTGGAGACCATGAGGGGGAAACCATCACCAGGAAGCCTGGACTTGGTTCTCTGGTTGCATCCCTGCTTCAACATTTCCAACTCCTATCCATAGAGTTGGCTCTCTTTGGGCTCCTACATCCCCTCCAGAGCCAGGCCTGCCTCAGTGATGAGCAGCTTCAGTCCTCCCTATATTGCTGCCTCTCACCCAGGTCAATTGAAATTAAAGCCTTGCCTAGTAACCTTGGGCAAGTCAGTTCCCCTCTCTGAGCATCAAAATAAAATGGAAACATCTTTTATCTCTTCTATCTCCTAGTTGAAAATCAGAGTTGGGCCAGTTGTCTGGGTTCAGAAGGCAGCTAGTAGGATGCAGTTATGGTCCAAATGCCAGGGTTTGCCCAGCGCAGTGTTGCATACTTGTAATCCCAGCAGCTCAGGAGGCTGAAGCAGGAGGATAGCAAGCCAGCCTCAGCAATTTAGCGAGGCCCTAAGCAACTCAGTGAGACCCTGTCTCTAAACAAAATACAAGAAAAGGGCTGGGGGGCTGGGGCTATGGCTCAGTGGTAGAGCGCTTGCCTTGCACATGTGAGGCACTGGGTTGAATCCTCAGCACCACATAAAATAAACAAACAAAATAAAGATATTGTGTCCATGTATAACTAAAAAAAATATTTAAAGAAAGAAAGAAAAGGGCTGGGAATGTGGCTCAGGGGTTAAGTGCCCCCTGAGTTCAATCCCTGGTATGTATGTATGTAAGTATGTATGTATGTATGTATGTATAAATAAATAAATAAATAACCCAGTCTGCTCATTTTGCAGAAGAAGAAACTGAATCTCCAGAAAGTAAAAGAATTTGCCCATGGTCACATGACTAGCAGTGATTTGAATCTAGGGTCTCCCTGATACAAAGCCCTCTTTTTGCCTTTGTCTTTTCTGGACCCTCTTGGCCCTCCCAGGGCCTCCTGCCCCTGGGTCACTACCTTGTAGAGGATCCTGCCCTCCTGGAGTACGTAGAGCCTCTCGGGCAGGGCTGCATAGAGCTGGCTGCTCTGGTTCTGCATGGTGTCCACCACCACAGGGCACTGGGGACTCTTGGCCAGCAGTATGTGGGCTGCCCGCAGGCGGTCCTGGAGGTTCTGATGAATCTTGATGTCCACATTATTCTTAAAAGCCCAGCCATCTGGAAAAGAAAGATTAGGCACTCAAGCTCTACACACAAGGCACCCAATTCCTGCAGGCTAAATACCACCCTTTTAACAGAAGGTCCGAGGTAGAAGAGCCCTTGGTCATGATTTGGCCCAGTTTCCTCTTACAGGTCTATCTGCCAGGTTACATAGACAGTTTCTTATTGATCCAAAACTGAAGCCCTGGACTCCTGGCTTCCAGGCCTCAGCTCTTCAATGTGAGATAGTCCAATCAATAGAGAGCTTCTTCTTGATCTTTAGTGAGCATATATGTCACTCAGAGGCTTTGTTACAGGGAAATTCTGGTTCATCCTGTCTAGGGTATGACTGAGAGTCTAACCTGCTCCCAGAATGCAAGGCTTCTAATGCCTGGATCACACTTTGAGAGGCAGTGGTCTAGAACAGTGGTTATCTAAGTGTGTGGGCTCTAGACCAGCTACAGCAGCAGCATCTGGGAGCTTGTTAGTAATGCAGATTCTCAGGCCCCACCATAGACCAACCAGGGGTGGGACCCAGCGATCTGGGTTTTAACAGCCTTTCAGATGATTTGAATACACTAGTGCATTACAACTTGTTTAAAAAACTACTGCTCTGAATTAAAGCTATGCTGATATTTCATCTCCCTCTAGTCAGAATAGCAATCATCAAGAATACAAATAATAATGTTGGCAAGGATGTGGGGGAAAAGGTACATTTACACATTGCTGGTAGGACTGCAAATTGGTGCAACCACTCTGGAAGCAGTATGAAGATTCTTCAGAAAACCTGGACTGGAACCACCATTTGACCCAGTTAACCCATTCCTCTGGTTATGCCCAAAGGACTTAAAATCCACATACTATAAACATCCATGTTTATAGCAGCGCAATTTACAATAACTAAACTATGGAACCAACCTAGGTGCCCTTCAACAGATGAATGGATAAAGAAAATGTGGTATATATATACAATGGAGTATTACTTAGCCATAAAGAAGAATGAAGTGATGGCATTTGCTGGTAAATGAATGAAACTGAAGACTATCATGCTAAGTGAAATAAGCTAATCCCCAAAACCAAAGGCCAAATGTTCTCTCTGATATGTGGAGACTATCACACACTTAGGGGGTGGGGGAAGAATAAAAGTTCACTGGATTAGACAAAAGGAAATGAGGGTGGGGAGGGTGAATGGGAATGGGAAAGACAATAGAATGAAGCGGACATAGCTTTCCTATGTTCATATATGAATACACGACCCGTTTAACTCCACATCTTGTACAACCACAAGGATGGGAAGTGATACTTCATGTATGTTCCAGTCCATGTCGAAATACACTCTACTGTCATGTATAACTAAAAAAAAAAAAAAACCAAATAAAAAAATAAAAACAAAACAAAAAGAACTACTACACTAGAGTTTAGAAAACTTTCTTCTCCTGATTATTCATAATCACAATGTTCTTTCCAAAATGCAAATCTGACCATGTCACTCTCCTCCTCAAATCTTTTGGTGCCTTCCTATCACCATCCAGATAGATCCCAGTCTCCTCAGTGTGGTCCTTGAGGCCTTCAGTGACCCAGCCTCTGCCCATCCCTCTAGTCTTCCTCCAGCTCTTTCCTCCAGGCAAATGGGTGAGGTACTTGGACTCCTCGACCCCCACCCCAGGCTGTCTCTGACCTTTGCTCTTTTTGTTACAGTAGGTGTCTCCTCCTCAGTGTGAGCAGAGTGGAGCCTTCTCTTTCTTGGATTAGGCACTGTCACTTCTGCTACTGCAGCTGATGTTGCTTTAGCTCTATTGACAGCCTCAGATAAGCTGTTCAGGATGAGCTCAAAGCCACATATAGCTGCCAGCCTGGCAGTGACCTTGTTCTCATCCCCTTCTATGCAGTTTTCCTGCTTCCTAATCACACTGCCTTCCAATCCATTATTCTCCCTGACCTTTAGAGACTCGCCACAATGGGCCCACAGTTGAAAAAACTGCTCATAGCCTTGCCCTTCCACTTGCCTCATTTCTGGGGAACCTGGAATCCAGGTAATGTAGTCATAGGTTTGTTTGGAAGCCACAGGCCCATGTTTACAATAATAGTTGCCCTGCAGGTGAGATAAGTTGCTTAAGTCTATCCACAGAGTCTGCATCACCTCCTTGGTGCTCCCAAGTCTCCTTACTCAGTATTTCTCCCAAGTTAAACCAGCCCTTCAGATTCACCTCAAGATACAAAAGTCTGGCCTGAAATATTATTACTCATTATCAAAGATATTATTACTCATCATCAAATTTCTTGATTGATAATTACACCAATTTCTATTTATACCATGTTTAGGCAGCCATGTCCACTGTGGGCTCTTGGAGCTTCCCAGCTGCCTCCCATGGGAGGCCAAGCAGGGATTCTCAGCCCCATGGTACAGCTGAGAACATGAGAGGAACAGCAACTTTCCTCCCCAAATATAAATGTAACTTCCTTACAGGAAAGAAACTGTATATACATCTTTTCTCTCTATCTCCCTAGCCCCAGCACAGGCCTGGGCACATTGTAGGTGCTCATTAAGAAACAATGAATGAATGATTCCATGAGGCAGATGATGTCATCCCATTTTTATGGTAGAGAAGCAGACACAAAAGGGAGGTTGACCAAAATCCCATGAGCAGCACATGATGGAGCTGGACTCACACCCAGGTCTGAAACTCCAATGTCTGTGACCTTCCCACTATACTTTGTGCCTCCCTGTATTTCACTTGGACAAACGGGATATGTGGAGAAAGTCAAGTCAACTAATTTGGGCCCTAAAGATTGACCCACACCTCCTAGGTCTGATGGATACTAGCTCTGTATGCTTTATTTCTGAGGTACAGGTTATGTCCAGTTCTGTCTGGTTGATAGAAACAAGGACCTGGAGGAAGGAGATGGGGAGAAGGAAAAACTGTGTCAGGACAGGGCAGAAAACCTTTCCTTGGTGGCTGAGGTAGATAGCTCTAGTTTCCAGAAAGGTTTAAACCTACCTGGTCTGATTCTGGGAAAAATGAGTCAGGGACAGGTATCAGGACCAGGAAACAATGTTGGTGATATTCCAAACCCTCTTGTCACAGTTTGCAATTTACTCTTCTGGAGATTAAAACTGGATCCTCCAGGACCTTGTGACTCAAAGTGTGGTCCCTGGACCAGCAGCTTTGGCCTTACCTGGCCCCATGCCAACCCACTGGAGCCAGAATCTGCATTTCAATAAGATGCCTAAGTGATCTGAGCACACAGTAAAGTTTGAGAAGTGCCTCCCCAGGAAGGCTAAATCAAACTAGGCTTGGCTGAACTCCAGCTGTGTGACGTGGAGGCATTGTCTCTTCTCAGCCTTGGAGACCACAGATGCCAGTTTCTCTGCCATAGGTCTCTTTCTTTAACTGATGCCTGCTGTTCTCACAAAGGGATGTCTCACAAAGAGGTACTTTGTGCTCATGTTTGCTCTCCTGTCCCCTGGGCTGTTTTAAAACAAATTTTATTATGGAAAATTTCAAATATACGTAAGAAAGAACAGTATAATGAACCTATCATAACATTATCCTATTATAATATTTCAAATTGCTTCAAAATCACCAGGTAAGGACAGATGCTGCCAGTTAAAAGAGCACGGTATAAGTTGAAAGCAGCTTTTAAGCTTTTGTGTGCATTCATGTCACTGTGTAGTAGGCTTCAGGTAGGGCCCTGGAATATGCATTTTCAATAAGCAAGTGGTTCTGTCACTGGAGATCTGAGGACCACACTGGGGGAAAGTACTACTGGGTCAACTTGGCTGAAGATTAATCAGAATAATCTCTATGTTTACAAAGACATGGAAAAGCCAGCAAGGCTAATACTGTCCTATACATTATCCATCCTGTTTTTACAGAGCTCTGACTGTGACATGGGCTGGACTGAGTTCTGAGTGACAGTAATGTATCAGACAGCATCTCTCCCATTCTGTGGGGAGATGGATGAAGAAATGGCACCTGTTCCATTCTGCCACACAAGCTTTCCTGCCTTCCACAATCTCTGGATTTGAGACTTGGGCCAAATTCATGAGTTCAGTCCCCATGAAAATCAGAGAAGAGATGTGTCTGACCATTTTGTAAAGTAAGGGGTTTAGACCACGATATACATGTTTCCTGGAGGGACATGTCTGCCTCTTGTAAGGAAGAACTATCTCTATCTTTGACTTTCCTAGCAAGGATGATTTCTCATGAGCTTTAATTCTTTTTTTCTTTTTTTTTTTTTGAGAGAGAATTTTAATGTTTATTTTTTAGTTTTTTTGGCAGACACAACATCTTTGTTTGTATGTGGTGCTGAGGATCGAACCCAGGCCGCATGCATGCCAGGCGAGCGCGCTACCGCTTGAGCCACATGCCCAGCCCGGATGATTTCCCATGAAATGATGATGATGGGTGACGGGCAGGTAGGAGCTATAGAAAGGATTCTCACCCAGGAAAGAGTTGGCCTATGTCAGTGGTTCTCTCAGTTGGGGTCCCCAGATGAGCAGTATCAGCATCACTCCTAAGAAATACAAATTCTCAGGCCTGTCCCAGATCTATTAAGGCAGTCTGCTTTAACCAGCCCTCCAGGTGCTTCTGATAATTTACGACAGCCTGAGAACTACTGACCCACATGAACCATATCTCTTTGAGTCTTAGGATATATCTTTTTCTTTTTGGTGCTGGGAGAGAACCCAAGAGTATTGTACCACTGAGCTACATCCCCAGCACTTTAAATTTTTTCGTTTTGAGATGGGGTGAGGGAGTCTTGTTAAACTGCTGAGGTTGGCCTCAAACTTGTGATACTTCTACCTCAGCCTCTCAAGTCACTGGGATTACAGACGTGTGCCATTGTGTCCAACTGTCTTAGGATGTATAGCAGTCATTACTAAAGACTGTACAAATAACTGGATAGCATTATTTCACCAATTTCAGGTCCAAATTCCTTATAAATGTGCTCAAGTCAATTGCTCTCCCTTGATTTCCCTATTTATCTTAAAAGGTTAGAACTCTCTCTTGCCAGACCCCATCTCTCCAGGTTTTCTGGGTTTTTTTTTTTTTTTGTGTGTGTGTGTCCTGGATGAAAGCAAACCGTGAAGTGAGTGGTGGGTAAATCCAGGGTGGCGATAGGGAGATGGTGGGTGCTTGATGAATAGCAGTTCTTTTCTTCCAGCCCACTTCCAACCTTGTATGGGGAGAGGGAAAAGAGAAGATGGGAATAACAAGAGGAAAAAACATCTTTCTGTACCTGATGCATGTGCTTCTTCAATGTAAATGATGAGAAAATCTGCTATGGGACTAAAGTCTTCAATAAGTCTCTTGAATTGGTCAAATTTGAAAAGAAATGAAGGTCAGGTGCAACTTCCAAAATTCAGCACCAGTGGTCTGTTGCCTAAAATGGAAAAACAACCATTATAAGCCAAGAATCTGCACAATTTATTGATTTATTTTTGGCAAGCATCATCTTCACTCCTGCTTTTAATTCTGTTACCTTTGTTTTCTCTCCAGAATGAGCAGTGAGCACAGGCAGGGGCCTAACCCTAGAGAGCATGACTTAGCAGGGGATGGAGCTGGTTTCCGCCTTTCTAAAGTGAGAGGTTTACGTTAGGTGATCTCAGTGGTCCACCTGCAGATGATGGTGCTTAAAATAATTACAGGGGAGTAATGCAGTTTATGAGGCAAACAGGCCTCCATTCTCTAGGTGATGGGATTAATAATACTGCAAAGTAGTAAAATTTCTCCATTTTACAGACCAAAGAATCTGAGGTTTATAGACCTCTAGGACCAACTCACAGCAGGTCAGTGGTGAAGTTAGAATGAACAGTTTGGCTTCTGGACTTTGAAGGCAGTGCCCTTTCCAATCAAAGTGCCTCAGTTTCCCCGTCCATAAGTAGACATAATTATAATACATACATATTTTATAGGATTGTTATGAAAAATAAATAAATACTTATAAGGGTTTTAAATGGTGGCTGGTCCATAGTAGGGGCTCAATAAAAGTAAGTGGTTGTTCTCTGCTCTTATCTCCTCCCTAAGTTCTAAAATGGGGAGGCCATGAAGAGGAGGGAGTAGAATCTGCTACAAAATGAAAATGCAGGCGCTCTTGTTCAAAAAGGACGGGGAAGTGTCATCACATTTATTAAAATAAAGATTTTTATTTTCTTCTAAAATTTCTATCTTGACCTAGCATGCTGCTTTTTAGTTGCTATTTAATGTCACACTCCCCCACAAGAAACAGGGGTGTTCATAGAGTGAGTGCAGGCTCTCAAGTCACCCAGCTGCCTGCAACGCAGTGTGCACGTGTGCTATTGCATCCTGGCTGCCCTCTCCCCTCAGACACCAGAACAAGGCACTGTGCCCTGGCCCGGAGCAGGGAAGGCAAGTCAGGCCTTTCCCACCTGATTACCACCCTGACCCAAAATATATTTCACCCTGTCAGGGGAATGCTAGGCACTTAAATAGAAAAGGGAGGTAAGAGGTTTCTCCCTCCAAATCACCCTAATCACTTGCCAAATTGCACTGTGGTGCTGGTAGCCAGGATGGGACAGCCCTTCATATGCTCTGCCCAAAGACACTGGGGAATGCCAACACCTGACCCTGACCTTTCCCCTGCTGTGCCCAGGTGATTCTCTATGGGGCTAGAAGGTAACAACAGTCACTGGCTGGGAACAGGAAGAAGGGACATATGGGGGTGGAAGAGTGGGCCCATGAGAGCATGTCCCCAGCTGAGCTGCAAGGTCTGAAGAGCAAGGCTGTATGTTCTCGGGGCAGCCTCCATTGTCCCATTGGGCTTCACTTACAAAATGCAAGTTCCAAGATAAACTTGTTAAGAATTTCAAGACAGCTACTACAGAGTGTTAATCTCAAGGATGAGGTCCTTCTGAGTGTGAGACCGTGTGTGATTCACTGGTACCATGCCCACAAAATTAGTTCTGGGTGGGGGCCTTCTGGTGTTCCCCCAGCTTAGAGTTGGGGCAGCTTTGGGGAGAACCCCAAGGATCGTTATGGCCAGAGCTGAAACATTGTTAAGGCCTCGTCAGACATCTCTTGGAGTAAGTGCTGCCCTGCACTAGGACATGGCCTATTTAAGTGTTCTCATCCCCCAGGCTACGCGTTACCCCTTAGAGCAGGGCCTCATTCAAACTTGTATCCCCAATCTCCAGCACACTCACATCCTACCTACAAACATTTATTCAGAATTTATACTATTTAAGCCCCACTGCCAACTGTTGGTTCAGTGGAGAGTGAGATTAGCAGGGCTGGGTTGTGGCTCAGCAGTAAAGTGCTTGCCTGGCATGTGTAAGGCCCTGGTTTCGAATCTCAGCACCACATATAAATAAATAAAATAAAGACCCATCAACAACTTTTAAAAAAATCATTCTTAAAGAAAAAAAAAAGAGAGAGAGAGAGTGAGATTAGTAGGTCTCTGCTGTCTACAGTTTGAGTTTTATTGAATGGGAAGACAGGCCAAAAGACAAGTTCAATACAGAAATGAAGTCATTTCAAATTGTGCTCAGTGTTATGAATGAGACTTAACAGAATCAGGTGGGTGAGGAAAGGCCTCTGAGGAGCTGCCATTGAACCTGAGAAGTAAAGGACAAGAAAAAACAACCATGGGTAAAAGAGAAGAGCATTCCAGGCTCAGCTACTCAATGTGCAAAGCTCCCCTGGAGGGAGAGAGGGCTTAGTTTGTTCAAGGATCCACAAGATCACTGGCTGGTACCAGGCAGGAAGCAATAGGGGAGGTGGTTGGGGAGTTTGGTGTAGGCCAGAGCAGAAGAGTCTTAAGGGCCTTAGTGCAAAATCTGAATTTTATTCTGGGTACAATAGGAAGACACGGAGATATTTTTGCAAGTGTTGTGGATATTATTGCAGCTTTGGCTGTCCAGCCCCAAACCTCCTTTCTACTTGAAATTCTCTATTTTATGTACAATTGATGGGTGTCTGTGCCCAGCCTTGCTCTGTGGAAGACAGAGAGGACAGTTCTACTGTCTGCCCCCAGCAGCCAGGGAGCAGGCAGTGACCTTCCCTACCCCTGGTGAGTGGATTTGATCCTCCCACATAGATCATTGATGTTGGAGGCTTGAGATGGCAGAATTCATTCATAGCCCAGTGGTGGTGCTCCTGTCAGGAATGGTGATGGGTTTACCCAGCAACCATAGTGACAGCTGGATCCAGGTGTGACCATTGATGTTGAAAGACAGCCTATACTTAGGGCTCCAGCTATTATTGATTCCAGGGAGACCCCAACATCTTTCCAATATGTTCCTTGATGGGTGGACGTGGATGTGACCAGTAAAACTAGAGTGAGTTTCTGTTGCTTGCAAGCCAGAGTCCTGACCACTTCAGTAGATCTGTGCAGTGATCAGATTCACACTTGAATATCACTGGCTACTCTGTGGAGAAAGGACTGAGAATGACCATGGAAGTGGGGAAGAAGCAGTTAGGGAACCTTGCGGAAGTCCACTTGAGAGACAGTAGGAACCAGGGCTGGTGTGTGGGCCAAGGTGAAGGGGAGAAAGTGGAATTGACCTGGCTTGCTGATGGATGGAGACAAAGGGCATCTTAACCTGCTTGAGTTGATTTAGTCAGTTATATACCCCCCTTATTCTGCAAAGGATTTGAAGCATTTTGCATATATAATAAAATATTAAGTTGAAACTAAAGGAAAAAAAACATGGTTTTCTGGAAGGCATAGAACAGGAGGGAAAAATGGATAAATTAGCAGGCTCAAAGGTCCTGTGCATTTATTGTGACTGAGCTATATAAATAACTCTGAGTCTCTTGGTAGCCAAGTAAAAGGAGAAACCCAATCAGTTTTTTTTTTAAACTTTATTTATTTCGTTATATATGGTGCTGAGAATAGAACCCAGTGTCTCCCACATGCTAGGAAGTGCTCTACCACTGAGCTACAACCCCAGCCCCCAATTAGTTTCTTATTTCTAATTTTTCAGTCTACAGTATGAGGAGAAGGTAGGTCAGTTTCTCTGAAGATACAAAGTTTTCCTTGTCTTTGACTCACAGGATTTCTTCATAGGAGGTCCCAGGAGGCATGAAGTGGGCCTCAGTCTTCCTGGTTGATTGCATGGTGACTCTTCACCCACATGACAGGGAGGCCCAGGCATTAGCAGGGAGGCTCTGAGCGGTCATTGGACTCCATTGATCCCAGGGAGTCACTCTTCAGATAAAAAAAGTGACTTAGGGTCAGGGCTGACTCTAAATATTAGCTGTCTGGATTTTTTTTTTTTAATTGGCAAAATATTCAACACCCACTCATCAGGACCCTGGAAGGAACAGAGCCATTTGTTTAATTATTTATAGTGGTTGGGTACAGTGGCCAGTATTGAGGGCAAAGTTTAAACTTAGTTCCCTGCTTTCCTGATAGCCAAGAAAGGAAGGATGGGTATCAGAGCGTGGCTGTGTTTAGGGCTGGGCCTCTGCCCATGACTGCAGGCCCCAGTACAGAGAATGCCATTTTAAGAATATCAGGAAAGGATGGTCAAGTTCAACTGGGAAAACTGCTTCATAGTAGAACTGGACTTGGGCCCACTCTCATGATTGATGGGCCAGTAAATTAGCCCCCACATCAGGCTCTCTCAGCAGAGAAATCCCATTTGTCCTTACTAGGAGACTCTTCACCAGTACATTTGTATATTTTGGAGAATTTTAAACAGGAGATGAAATAAAGCCAGTTTCATCTAAACTCTCAGATGCCCAGAAAACAAAAGGTGCTAAGCACCTTGCTTTTGCTGAAGCTGGCTTTGAACTCATCCATTACTTGCCTTCTGCCACAACATGTCAGTTTATTGAGGTTTTGCTCTCTCTCTCTCTCTCTCTCTGTGTGTGTGTGTGTGTGTGTGTGTGTGAAAACTGTGTATATGTGTGCTTGTGCATGGATGTGCAGAGGATGAGAGATGGCTGAGAATTTCTCTGATGCCCTTTTGTCTTATTCATTAACAGAAAATATACCAGCTAGTTCTGGCTCTGCCAAGAACTTGCCGTGTGACTCTAAACAAGTCATTTACCTCTCTGGCCCTTTGCATCTGAAAAGTGAAGGAGTTGCTTTAGGTGAACTATAAAGAATCTTCCAGTTGGGCTGGGGATGTGGCTCAAGCGTTAGCGTGCTCGCCTGGCATGCGCGGGGTGCTGGATTCGATCCTCAGCACCACATAAAAATAAAATAAAGATGTGTGCACCAAAAACTAAAATATATATATACATATATATAAAGAATCTTCCAGTTCTCCCAAATCTGTGGCTCTAAAATGAGTTCAGAGTTTATACCTAAAGCATACAACAGAGCATTTTAATGGCCTGGTAGTAGTCTGAAGCAGTCACAAGATGTTTTTCTAATAAGCAGAACTGATCATGTTTACTCTCAGAACTCACCAACACCCTCAGGATAACATCTACCTGCAGATTAAGACATGAGGCCCTCCAAGCTCTGGCCCCTAATGATGGTTTCTGTTTATTTTTTCATCTTTTTTTTTTTTTTACTACTGGGGATTAAACCCAGGGCTGCTCTACCACTGAGCATTTTTTTTAGTTTTTATTTCATTTTGAGACAGGTTCTCACTAATTGAATTTATAATCCTCCTGTCTCAGCCTCCTGAGTAGCTGGGATTACAGGTGCACCAACATACCCAGCCCCTTCCTGCTTCTTACACCCCATTTCTGCCAAACTGAATGGTGCTCCTCTACCTCTCGGACTTCTGCTGTTTCTTCCCATCTGTCCTGCCCTGCTCCCCAAGCCCCTTTTCCTCAACTGTACCAAGACTTTACATCCCCAGATGATAATGCTCACCATTTTTTCTCCAGTTAGCCTTCCCTTGACCAACTCCTTACCCCATCCATGAGAGGGCCCCTTCCCCAGAATCTCTGCTTCCCTTTCTCACTGGTCTGGATTATGAGGTTTTTCTAGGACAGAAGCCAGCAGTGTTTATTTCTATATGGCTAGTACCTTATTATTTCAGGGGACTCTGGTTCACTGTGCTGAAAGTCAACTCTATTTTATAAATAAAGGGTTTTTATTTTTGCTTTTGTGCCTCTTAGTCTCCTTATCTTTCAGTCTCAGCTGCAGCAGCAGGGACCAATAACAAAGTTGAATACTTTCTCAAGCCCCTGGGATTACAGACATGCACCACCATGCCTGGCTGACAAAGTTGAATACTTTCTAACTGAAAGTATACATTTAAATGATGCAACTCGGGCTGGGGTTGTGGCTCAGTGGTAGAGCACTTGCCTAGCACAGGAGAGGCACTGAATTCAATCCTCAACATTGCATATAAATAAATAAGTAAAATAAAGGTCTATTGATAACTAAAAATATACATATTTTAAAAAAATGATGGAACTCAATTCTGTGAATTGTTCCTGAGGCAAGCTGGCTTTCAGGAAACTGATCTTTGAAACTGATCTTTGGATAATTGGCATTCAGAAGATTGGCCTGTTCTTGCATAGTGTCTGGCACATAGTAGACACACAATAAAATTAGTTGTTACATTGCTTTTGTAATCAATGGTAGTTTGATAAATGTTTGCGAATAAATCAAGGTCATTTGTACACTCTTGTTTAAAATCATGAGCAAACAAAAGAAAGAAAGAAACTATTGCCCTTCCCTCTGCTTAAAACAGTCTTCCCTTCTCAAGCTACAAAAATCTTCCTCATTCTTCAAGGCCAAGTTCCAAAGCCATCTCCTCTAGGAAGCCACCTCAGTCCTGCAGGCCAAGGTCATACCTTCAGAGCCTCAGGGAGCGGGTAATCTGTGTTGGGAAAGTGGGGGTTGGCTGCTTGCAAGAAGTGCCATTGAGTGGAAGTGTGAAGGATGAAGAGCATTTCACTAGGTAGAGGTGGACAGAGGGCAACCCAGGCAGAACCGACTACACGGTAAGAAGAGCATTCAAGGACTGAGAGGCCAGAGTGGGACAGAATGCCTGGCTTGTGACTGACGTGCCAGGGAAGGTTGTGATGCCACTCAGAGCAACAGAACTCAAGGGAGTCCCTCACTTCCTGAGCAGACGAAGACTAGAAGCCCCAGAAGGAGCAGCTGGAGTGGGAGAGTTCAGCACCTTTCAACCTCTCTCTCTGTCCCCACCCGCCAGCATTTCAAGCGCCCTAGCACACAGCAGCCTCCTGACCTTGTATGAAGTCCCAAATGTTGCACTTCTGTCCCGAGAGGCGAATCACAGGGCAGTTTGGGGCTAGACCCCCCAGCTCAGCCTTGTCCTCTAGTCGCTGCCAACGGACCTTCAAGACGAACCAGAAATACTGGATGCTGAAGAAGGTCGGGACCCAGTTGTCAGGGGAGAATTGGGGGTTTCTGGTCATACCAGTCTTCTGGCCCATGGCCAAGATATTCTGCGTGGCTCTTTCTGGAAACAGTGTCATTAACACTTTGCCCATGGCCACCTCCACAACCACCAACAAGAGAATCCATAATTTCTTTAGCCATAGGCCTGGCCGGAGCAGCCCCATCTCGTCACAGCCAGAGTTGGCTCTGAGGCTGATGGACCCAGAGGCTGCAGCCAGATGACACTGGGCGGAGCTGGACAAAGGTACAGAGTCAGAGCAGCCAACTCCAGGCAAGAGGAAGGTGCCGTGGCAGAAGGTATTTGCTCTCCCATCAATAAAGTGGAAAATTCCCAGCCAGGTATACAAAGGTCTGTTCTCATTCTTATTGTTTCAGATTCTTTGCCTTAGATTTTGAGAGATTCGTGGATTTTAAATTCTCCCTTTGATTAATTTTTAAAATATATATATATATATTATAGATGGAGACAATGCCTTTACTTTATTTTTATGTGGTGCTGAGGATTGAACCCAGTGCCTCACAAGAGCTCTAGTGTTGAGCTACACCTGCAGCTCCTTCCTTTGATTAATTTTTTAAAACAAATACTTAAAAAGATCCACACTTAAATCTTCCCCACTAAAAGATCTATTGCAAATGAATAACCTCTAATGTTAATTATTCTTTTTAACAATATAAATGGTTCTTTTACTAGGAAAGGTGGTTTCCCACTCTTTGCAGAGGCAAAGTCCCTTCCCAGAGGTTTTGGATCTGGACCTCCCAGGCAGTGACATCTCTGGGGCCATCAGCAGTTAAGGGCCTGCAACTCCTCTTAGCACTGGGAGAAGAGAGACAGGTAAAACTCTCTGCTCTCAGGGAAGTCATAGTCTAGCTCAGGAAAGACAAGTAAACAGAATATTGCCATTTAGTATATTAAGTAGAGAGACAGGATGTGTAGGGACATAGGGGTATGGAGAAGTGGCAGCTTATTCTGTATAGAGAGGTCACGAGGCTTCCATGAGGAACTGATGTCTATGCTGCAATCAGAAAGACAGTGAGCTGTCAGCCAGGCAAGGTGGAGGGAACTGCATGGTCAAGGCCTCACAGCTAGAGCAAGCATGACTCAGAGAGGCTCAGAGTTGGAGAGTGTTTAAAAACACATCTAGAGGGCCAGGCGTAGTGGTGCACACCTGTAATCCAAGCAGCCTGGGAGGCTGAAGCAGGAGGATCGAGAGTTCAAAGCCAGCCTCAGCAAAAGAGAGGTACTAAGCTACTCAGTGAGACCCTGTCTCTAAATAAAATACAAAACAGGGTTGGGGATGTGGCTCAGTGGTCCAGTGTCTCTGAGTTCAATCCCTGGTCTCCGCCCCCCCCCAAAAAAATGCACATCAAGAAAGAATAAGTGGCCTGACTAAATCGCTATGGTCTTCATTCACAAAGCTTTAGTTAGTCTCTGGCATGTATATACCTAAATACTCTCTGATAGTAAGAGTGGTGCTGGGGATTGAACCCAGGGCCTTATGCATGAAAGGCAGGCACTCTACCAACTGAAGGATGACAGGAAAGCTAGCACCAAAAGGTGTCAGCCTTGGCTCTAGGGTCCAGTAGGTATTAATTTTATTAATTAACTTTATTTAGGAAGTGGGGGAAAAAAGACCCTTCAAAATATGTTTCATTTTAGAGCTGTTCACAGCAAATACCACATATGGTGCCCAGTATTGAAGAGTACAGCTCCATTTCTTTAAGCAAAGACAGTCCCTCCCACGTGCAGAGATTCACCACGTACCAAGAACTCCTGCATCCCTGATATTGCTAAGGTTTTGGTTTTATAATGGGCTTTTTATTTTTGTACTGCGTTTTTGTATATCCACAGCAAAATTGAACAGAAAATATAAGGAGTTCTCATACGTGCACAACCAACCCTGCCCCTTAGCAGCATCCTGTGCCAGAGTGGTACTTTTGTCACAATTGATGAGCCTCCATTGTCACATCATAATCATCTGAAGTCCACAGGTAAAGTTAGAGTTCACTCTTGGTGGTGTATAGTCTATACATCTGGACAAATGTATAATAACATGTACCCATAATTATAGTATTGTACAGAATAATTTCACTGTCCAAAAATTCACCTGTGCTCCATCTATTCTTCCAGTAAACTCCAGTGCCCTGGTAATCACTGTTTTTTTTTTTTTTTTAGTTGTTGATGGACCTTTATTTTTTATTTACCTGTTTATATGCAATGCTGAGATTTGAACCCAGTGCATTACACATGCTAGGCAAGCGCTCCACCACTAAGCCTCAACCCCAGCCCACCAATCACTCATATTTTTACTGCTTCCTTAGTTCTTCCCTTTCTAGAGTGTTATGTAGTGAGAATAATATAGTATAAAGCCTTTTCAGAATGGCTTCTTTTACTTAATAATTTGTTTTAAATTTTCTCCATATCCTTTTATGGCTTGATGGCTCACTTCTTTTTTTTTAGTTTAGTTTAGTCCACACATTTAACATTGTGAGGACACACAATGCTTTTTTATTGTATTTATTTATTTTTATGTGGTGCTGAGGATCGAATACAGGGCCTCACACATGTTAGGCAAGCGCTCTACCACTGAGCCACAATCCCAGCCCTCATTTCTTTCTTTTT